CTCCGAGAATGAGGTTCCCCAAATAAAAACACAAGTACCGACAGGAATTGATAGAGTGGACAGGGACAGACTGCTGGATAGGCGGGAAACAGGCATACGAGGGCGCAGCTTTCATTACTGGAAGTTAAAAACAGAGGAGTAACAAGAATGTTATGAAATATTTCTTCAGCTTCAGAATGGACAAGCAGTGGAAAGACCTGGACATTCTGTACATTCTGTCCGTCGTGCCTTCTGTACGCCCGCCCTTCCTCCCGCCCGCCCAACCTCCCAGTGGTAGCGCCTCGCTGATCAAAGCGCACGGAAAGGCTGTCCAAAGAAGTTTTCACTGTAAATAATTCTTGTAACCAACAATACTGTGTCTAGGAGCCGAGTTTGTGTGGGGGTGTGGGGTGGTGCTTGGTGAGTTGGTGCTTGGGGAGGGACGAGGTGTGTTTTGTGCCCGTGTATTACTCTGTTTGCTTACGTGTCTTTCTAAACCAACTTGTCGGTATTTATTACCAAGGTTTATACCATTACTCTGTTCTCCCTCTCCTGTGAGTGTACTTGCCTCATGTGTTTCCAGGGGTCGTGTCATAGCTCCTGGCTCCGACCCTTAAGTGTTATGCCTTGAAACTGGGTTTCCTATTTCTGTCTGTCTGGTGAGTTGGGCATCTTGGCTGCTGATCTTCACACCCTAGTTCTTTTAGGGGACTCAAGCCTCTATAGAGAACACGTGGTAAATTATCCTGTGGGAGCTGACTTTTATCCAGAAGTTATAGGAGGGGGAGGGGGAAGTGGACGCCTTTATAAGCTCCAGGAAAAAGTTAAAAGGAGATTCTTGGCAAAATTTTTAAAGGGGGTGGACCGGTTAAGCTCTAGCTGTGGGTCACCATATGACTAAGAACCTCGTCAGGATCACTTGTCCTGTTTCCTGACAAACCTAACCTAACTCTAGCTAAGAGGGAGACTTGGTGAGGAGCCATGGCTGGGCATAGAGCTGGATGCTATGTATGAGGACTTAGTGTTCAGACTCTGTCGGAGACAGAGCCGAGGCTGTGAGAATTCTTTTTGGTATGATCTACAAAGCATTTTTTTTTTTACTGTTAGTATATATATGTTCAGTTTCGTCAGCTAATTCTATTCTCCCATCTCAGTATTCTTGCATCTTCCTCAGTTATCCAAGTATCAGATCCCTTTCTCATTTACCAGGTATATTAATGCACACAGTTGTCCATTAAATGCGCACAGGTGTCCGTTGAATGCACACAGGTGTCCCTCCAAGACACACCTGCGTCCTTCCGACACCTAGGTATTGCTTAAATAAAAGTGAAATCGGATGGCTTTTTCGTGCCTCTCCCAGTTTACTGATTATTTCTAAAAAAGGAAAAAGGGCCGGGGCGTGGGGGCGTTGACCCCCGGAAACATCTCTGGTATCCTTCAGGCTCCAGGTATAGAGGAGACAAATGACAGGCAGTTGAGACACTGAAGATCGCCGGACAGTTAGTTTCTTCCAGAGTGGTCACAATTAAAACTCGCACGGCATCATCTGTCACTGTTTCTACATGTATCAGCTGTCACTGTTTCTACATGTATCAGTTGTTACTGTTCAACATGTGTCAGCTGTCACTGTTTCTACAACATGTATTATCTGTCACTGTTTCTACAACGTGTATCAGCTGTCACTGTTTCTACAACATGTATTATCTGTCACTGTTTCTGCAACATGTATCAGCTGTCACTGTTTCTACAACGTGTATCAGCTGTCACTGTTTCTACAACATGTATTATCTGTCACTGTTTCTACAACGTGTATCAGCTGTCACTGTTTCTACAACGTGTATCAGTTGTCACTGTTTCTACAACATGTATCAGCTGTCACTGTTTCTACAACATGTATCAGCTGTCACTGTTTCTACAACGTGTATCAGCTGTCACTGTTTCTACAACATGTGTCAGCTATCACTGCTTCTACATATATCAGTTGTCACTGTTTCTACAACATGTATCAGCTGTCAATGTTTCTACAACAGGTTTTGAAAGTTATTTTTTTGTATTGAATATTTTTGCGTAAGCAGTGTAGATTAGTTCGTTTATTGTAACAACTCAGTGGCTGCAGCAACACATGGGTCAACAGTGAATCAGAGTTTGCAACAACAGAAGGCTCAACAGTAACGGTGCCTCGTGGCCTGGTGGCTGAAGCTCTCGCTTCACACGTCGACGGTCTGGGTTCTATTCCAGGTGAGGGTAGAAACATTGGACGTGTTTCCCTACACCGGTTGTCTATGTTCCCCATCAGTAAAATGGGTACCTGGGTGTCAGTCGACCGGTGTGGGTCGCATCTTGGGACAAAACTGACCTAATTTGCCCGAAATGCTCTGCATAACGAGCTGCTTTCTATATAGTATGTCATGATGTCAGCTAGACCTGTATACCTTGTACATGTACCTGTAGAAATAAAGTAACTCGGGTCAGATCACTGACAGTGATAAGGAAATGTGTGAAATTTTTAACTCTTATTTCCTCTCAGTTTTTACGCAGGAAGATACTAGCGAAATTCCAGAAATTATGTAGAACACAACGCGAATAAACTATGAATGATTTGGGTAACTAGTGACATGGTCCTCAGACAGATAGAGCAATTAAAACAGAACAAATCTCCAGACCCTGATGAACTGTTTGCAAGGACTTTAAAGGAATGTGAAGAGGAGCTTAGCAAACCTTTGGCTAGTCTTTTCAACATATCACTACAAACTGGCATAGTGCCGGACAAGTGGAAAATGGCAAATGTAATACCTATTTACAAAGCAGCAGACAGGTCCTTAGATTCGAACTATAGACCAGTAAGCCTTACCTCTATAGTGGGAAAATTTATCAAATCAATAATTGCCGAGGCCATTCATAGCCATCTTGAGAGGCATGAATTGATTAATGAATCTCAGCACGGTTTTACAAAGGGGCGTTCCTGCCTTACGAATTAACCAACTTTTTTCACCAAGGTATTTGAGGAGGTAGATCATGGTAATGAATATGATAGTGTATATGGACTTCAGTAAGGCTTTTGATAGAGTTCCACATCAGAGGCTATTGAAGAAACTTGCACAAGGAATAGGGGGAAATTTTTTCCTGGGTAGAGGTATGGTTGACAGATAGGCAGCAGAGAGTTTGCATCAATGGGGAGAAATAAGAGTGGGGGCTCGTCAAGAGTGGTGTTCCACAGGGGTCAGTGTTGGGCCCTTTGTTGTTCACACTTTAAATAAACGAATTGATGAGGAAATAAACAGCGACATAAGGCAGTTTGCTGGTGACACCAAAATAGGTCGCCTAATTCATTCAGATGAGGACAGAACACTCCAAGAAGATTTGAATAGACTGATGGAGTGGTCGGAGAAGTGGCAGATGCAGTTTCATATAGACAAATGCAAAGTTCTAAACATTGGACAGGAAAATAACCATGCCAAATATAAACTAAATAATGTAGATCTTAATATTACTGGTTGCGAAAAGGATTTGGGAGTTTTAGCTAGCAGTAATCTAAAACCAAGACAACAGTGCACAAGTGTTCGCAGTAAAGCGAACAGAATCCTGGCTTCGTATCAAGGAGCATAAATAATAGGAGTCCTCAGGTTATTCTTCAATTCTATACATTTATATCTTTGGTTAGGCCTCATTTAGATTATGCTGCACAATTCTGGTCACCGCATTATAGAATGGATACAAATGCTCTGGAAAATGTACAGAGGAGGATGGTAGAGTTGATCCCATGTATCAGAAATCTTTCCTATGAGGATAGACCGAGGGCCCTGAATCTGCACACTCTAGAAAGGAGTAGAATTAGGGGTGATACGATTGAGGTGTATAAATGGAAAACGGGAATAAATGAAAGGAATATAGTGTTAAAAATATCTAGTCAAGACAGGACTCACAATGGTGAGTCCTGGTTTTAAGTTGGAAAAATTCAGATTCAGGAACGATATAGGAAAACACTGGTTTGGTAATAGAGTTGTGTGGGAGTGGAACAAACTCCTGAGTACCGTCATAGAAGCTAAGACGTTGTGCCGTTTTAAAAATAGGTTAGATAAATACATGAGTGGGTGTGAGTTGGACCTGACTAGCTTGTGCTAATAGGTCTGATGCCTTTCCCTTTCCATTAGTGGATGTGACCTGACCTGACTAGGTGAGTCATTGGTTTAAGCCGGGAGGTGACTTGGACCTGCCTCGCATGGGCCAGTAGGCCTGCTTCAGTGTTCCTTCTTTCTTATGTTCTTATTAATAACCCAGGATTTATTTCCTGGGTTACAATGAGTGTCTAGCTGGTCCTTGCGTTGATACAGGAAGCTCTCTCATCTATTCCATAGTGTTTTTTTTTTTTTTTGGAAAATGTAATTGAAAAAAAGTACATCTAAAAATTGAAGAGCATATACTGTGAAGGTTTTTTCCACGAGTTATTCAGTTTTGGATGACTGCTTCAACCGGATTGACAAATAAAAAAAATACACTGTACGTGAGCTTTGAGAGAGCTTACACGAGTGCCAGTGATATCTGGGTACCGTGAAGACCATTGTTTTGTATGGTGTGTGTGTGTGTGTGTGTGTGTGTGTGTGTGTGTGTGTGTGTGTGTGTGTGTGTGTGTGTGTGTGTGTGTGTGTGTGTGTGTGTGTGCGCGCGCGCGCGCTTCTTGTAGCCTGACCTTCGAGGTTATTGTCCCATGCTGCGAGTGCTGTCATAGAAAATGTGACTTTGTTCCATTGTTGTGGTCAACTATGTTAGTAACATGAAAAAGAATGAGAAGAAAAAGGAAACAAGAATATGAAAAAAAGTAAAGAAAAAACAAAAGAAAATACTACTACTACTACTAATAATAATAATAATAAAAATAATTATTTAGGCTTATCAAGTCATCGTCATTCTCATCATCCTTACCATTATAATCAATCTTCATCTTCATTAATCTTTTATTTTTTTTTTTCCCCCTCTTCCTCTTTCCTCTTTTTTCTCTACGTCTTCGTGTGTCTCCCGTACAGGAGCGGTCTGAACGCCAGCAACAGCAGTCTGAGGGTAGCTAGGAAGCTCAACAATGTCACCAAGGACTCTGGAGACACCGTCAAGCTCAAGTGTGAGTTTACCGGTGACCCTCCTCCAACACGTTTCAAGTGGTACAAGAATGAAGCTCCAGTCATCGAGGAGAAAGGGCGAGTCAACGACAGGAAGTAAGTGGTTTGTGTTGCCAGTAGGTGATGTTACTTGTGTTGCCAGTAGGTGATGTTACTTGTGTTGTCAGTGAGTGGTGTGGCTTGCCGGTGAGTGTTGTGGGTGTCAGTGATTCGTGTAAATTTGTGCTGTTTGACGGAAGGGGATTAGTGTTTGCGTCTGTGTGTATAATTACCGATTTCAGTTTTCAGTGTGTGTACTCGTGCGTGTGTGCGCGCGCATGTGTCCTTGCATGCATGCCTGCGTGTACTCGCCTATTTGTACTCGCCTATTTGTGGTTGCAGGAGTCGAGTTCACGCTTCTGGCTCTCTTGCCACCTCTTGGGCCCTATCATTCCTATTCTTAAAACTATGTATGGAGCCTGCATCCACTACTACTACTACATCCAGGTCATTCCACTTCCTGACTATTATTAGGTGAAAAAATACTGTTATCCCTGTGGCTTTGTGTCTCTTTCATCTGCTGCTCACCTCTGTCGCTGTCACTATCACTGGTGTTTCTTCTGTTTTCCCTGAATACAGCTTTAAATTGTTTGGCTCCTCACAGAATTGTTTCCCGTGAGCTCTCCTCTTACTCCTCCCCCAGTTTTATGACTGTCTTTCACTATTGTCTTTCTTGTAGTGTGACTGAAAATTTTGTTTCTGATCTGGCTTCTGCTGGTACGTCTTTATCAAGTTCTTGCGCAGTTTTTGTTTCCCTTGCATATTCGCTCTGTTTTTTCTGCTTCTCTGTTTTCTTTTGTCCTTCGCTTTCTGTATATTTTCCACGCATTTCTTGTTTTCCAGCTCTACAGCTTTCGTTGAACAATGGGCTAGCTTTATTTCATGTGTGTGTGTGTGTGTGTGTGTGTGTGTGTGTGTGTGTGTGTGTGTGTGTGTGTGTGTGCGTGCGTGCGTGCGCGCGCGCTTACGTAAAGAAACAATGGCTGTGTAAGTGCAAAAGGGAGATAGGGTGTTTGTCACTGAGAAGCACTGTGATAATATCAACAATTCAACATATTGACCTCTGTAATTACAACTGTTTTAAATTATGTAACCTTAACATCACCTGAGTAATGTCGTCTCATAACCCTTAAAGGACCAGCGAATGGTACATTTACAGCAGCATTCGCTCTCCTTTTTCACAGGTACAGACTTAAGACAGACGGTGTGCAGGTGTATGGAACGAAGTTGATCATCAAGGACTTGGAGATCCACGACAAGGGTTACTACAAATGTGAGGCCACCAACGGCGAGGAGAAGGTCGAGTCCACTGGTATCCTCATCGTCAAACCCGGACAGTGGCGTACGTAAAGTTAATTTTTATATATATGTTCAAGTTGATGAGATATGATGTAGTGTGCAATGATACCAATATTCTAGACCACGTATTGGTGGATTAAAGGATGGTGGGTAGACTTCTGGATGTGCATGGTTTTAGAGGAGCAACTGATGTGTCAGACAGGTAAGAGAGAAGTGAATGAACTAAAGCAGCTATTAGTAGAAAGGTGAGGTATGGAGAGTAATTAGGAGCTTGAAGAGGTATGGGGTATATTTAAGAACGTAGTGCAAGTGAGGATTCTGTGGAGAGAGAATATAATCCATGGAAGCAAAAAGGGAAATGTATGCGAGTATAGTTATATCAACGCTCTTACATGGGTGTGAAGCATGGGTGGTGAATGTTGCAACAAGGAGAAGGCTGGAGGCAGTGGAGATGTAGTACTAGGGTGCTTGGCAGAAATACATGGCTATTGGAGGGTAGGAGTGGGTGGGAATAGGAATGATGACATAAGAGGTGAGGTAAGACGCAGGTAAGAAGGTGGTAGGGGGAAAGTTTTTACAATGTGAAAACGTTATACAGAGGACAGAGTATATAAAGAGAAAAAGCGAGCCAAAACGAGTGGTGAGAAAGTAGAACTAGTGAGAGAATGAGTGCGTCTTCATCAACAAATAATGCCGAGAATAAGAAACTGTTTTGAAAAGAGATTAATAAGTCGAGACAGCATTGGGAGTAAGTGGACTTGCCAGTAAACAATGAATGATGAGAGATGTTAGATGGGAATCAGAGGCTCTGGAAAAATGGTGGTCCTAGGCTATTCAGCATCTTACCAGAACAATAGAAACACTGCTGGGACAAATGTAAGTCTTCAGTAAGAAACTAGGCAAATATCGCCACCAAGTGAGAGATCATCCAGGCTGTGACGGATGTGGTGGCCATGCATGTCTGGCAAGCACCAGATATTCCTGGCCTAGGGCCGGGCTCCGAGAATAGAAAAACTATCGAAATTCGTCAAAGTAGAGAGAGACGGTGTTATTTCTTGGGCAGAGAGGAATAACATCTGATAGGAGTAAGGAAGAGGCAGGGGTGAATGGGGAAAAAGTGCGTATGGCATTTGATAGAATATAAAGAGGGTAAAGCAGGTGGAATAGATGGGGCTAAGACTGTGATGTTAAAAGTAAGTGGTGATATAGCTGTTGAGTGGTTGGTGTATTTGTTCAATATATGCAAGAAGGGTGGGACGGCACCCAAGACTGGCAGAAAACATATATAGTTAGTATAAAGGGAAAGGAAACAGTTGTTAGTTAAAAACTATAGGAGAATAAGCCTGTTGAGTATACCGGGTAAAGTTTGCTGTAGAATTATATATTGAAAGAGTTAAGGGTTAGACAGGAAGCAGGATTACAGTGGAACAAGGATGATTTAAGAAGGAATATTTAGACCAAGTGTTTTTTACAACATTATGATAAAATGTATGGAAATACAGTTTTCTGCATACAATCGTGTAATTAAGACGTGGAATGCTTTATAACTAAAGACTTAGTTTTATTGAAGTATTTAATCTGTATCATAAATTCACAAGCCTTGAGGACCCCCCCTCAGGGAAGGTGCCTAGTTGCCGGTGATGGGCTCTTGATTTCAGGAATTAAACTTATCCTTTCCCATCTGGGTTGGATCTGAATGCCTCCAGTTTCTCAAGCACTACATGACAGCAATGGGTTTAGCACTTTACCCTCTATTAGGAAAGGAAAAAAAATTGCTTCGAGGGATATTGACGCAATAATTAAGTTCCTCCTAACATGTTTAGTGTGTCGTTTTCTTTGGTTTAGTGGTGTTATGGACCCATTTTCTGTGTTGCAGGCCGCGTGGACGAGGCGCCTGAGAGCAAAGCCAGCATCCCCAGTATGGAGGATCTGGGCGTACATTTCCCCAATATGCCTGGCGGCAAGTAAGTGACGAATGCAAAAGTGTTGGTTGTTTTCAAGAATAACTATTCTTCTCTCTCAGCATGTACTCGTAAAATATTATACCAGAATAATTTTATTTCAGCAAAGGCATTATGGAATTTGTTTATATATTTTTTTGGGGGGGCTTGCATTTTTTTATTGGAAGTATTATTTAGCTCATCTTTAAAAACTGTTTGATGGCAAGGTAAAGCTCCGCTAAAGGAAATAAAGCAAGAGTTGATATGCAATATTTGAGAGTGGGTGTGTTGACAGCACTACTAGTGAAGCAACTGAGCTGTACACGATCAATACCGCTCGGGAAATTCTGCTTGTACGAAAGTATAGTTTTAGGTGCAGTAAATTCACTTTAAGCTGCAATTTTGCACGATCGAAGTTTGTTCATGGTGACTTTTTCATATTTTTCCCTCGCGCAGCCCATGCAGTGTATATAAGAGAAGGTAGAGAGCAGGACACAGGTGGGGAGACTACATGAGTGGGTTCCATCATTGAATAAGGTATAAACATTTCCATAGCACTGGCTGGGAGATCAACGTTGCAAACATGCTAGATAAATGATTTCGGCTTTCCAGATGAATACTAGTGCTCTGCCAACACACTGAATCCGGGATATATAGTTGCCAGTTTGTCAGCAGCGGGTTGGAAGGGGAAGAGAGAATGACGGTCACTCTACTCCTGTAAATGAAGCTAAACTACTCAATTTCCCTTCAAGTTAATTTGAATTATAATTTGCTGAGTATGATTGAGTCTTTGTTCGTGTCCACTTATGTTAACCTTTCCTGAGTAAGTTTACTTGTTCATGATTTTTCGTACTGCGGACAATTTTCTTAATTGGGGCACTGATTTATTCACCTGAGTACTTTGTTTTAAAAATTGAATATATATTTTTGAAAATGTAAATGTATTATAAGCATATAAACAGGGACCCTCGTTGTTTATTTTCCTGGTAAATTTTGTCAGCGTCATGGTTGTATTTTTGGGATTGCTTCCCTCTCGCAGTACCGCGAACGTCTTCAGTACTTCTTACAACGAGAAAAAGCGTGTTTTTGTTTAGTGTATGTACCCTTGTATATCATTGGTATTATATACCTTCATATTAATAAGACACAATGTGAGGTTTGTGGCATCTTTTCCCCCGAAAACAGCATACAATGTATGTGCTTCCCTTGACCAAACAATCTTGAAATCAATTGATAATCCATTATTTTGAACCTTCTTAGGATCTTGTGGTGATCCTATGTATTTTAAATTGTGTGAAAACCTAGCTGGTATAGGTTAGCGAATGCTTCATCGAGTTACAATTGGACCCATGTCATGATACTCAGCCCTTTCTCCTGACGAACACTACCACTAACAAATTAATGATAATCATCAGTATTTTCTCAACATATCACGACATATATTCGTACAAGATCAAAAGAAACACAAATGAAAATGCGCAAATTCTCAACAGCGTTCAGCTCAAAAGTGGTTCATTAAAATTAATGTTATGCTAATTGTAATGAGAGTGGGCGGTGTCTGGTAATATTTGTGGTGGTCCCAAAGGAGGCCTGGGGTATTTTCCGTATCATTTGCTACACAATACTCAGATTTTTTTTATATTGAAATATCAATTAAACGTAAAATGAATGAATAAAAAGTTTTTTGGGAAGTAAATGGTGCGGTGATGCCGACATGTATAGAAGCTATATGGTGTTCAGGGCATTTATTAAAGGAAACGTAACGCCACGAGTGGTGGATCACAAGGGAAACAGAGATTCAATAGATCATATACTGGATTCTAACAACGTTGAGAAACAATCTTTTGTGCAGAGGTTATGATTTTATAATGCTCTACAGTTATGCTATATAATAATGATTACGTTTTTAAAAGTTTAATGTGGCAGAGCTCTCAGATCTTTCGGCTCTTCACATCTGGTTTGTTGTTGAAGTGAATGTAGGAACGAGCCCACACCGCTCACTTGTCGCCTGAGCGGCTGGTTTATTGGGCACTCCATGCTCATATATTAATTTAGTATAATTGCTTCATACAACTAGTGAACACAAGACACTATGGAGTTGCAATCTCAAAAGAAATTAAGTACCTTATTACCACTACAAAAGTCATGCTTAGTTACATACCCAAGCATGCCACCTTCAAGTGTCAGGCCATTTAGATCAAGTTAAAGCTGAAGTTGGAGTTCCCACAGTCGGACAGTTCAGTTTGTGAGGTGGAAGCCCAGTTATTAATTCTAATACACATCTATATTATAATACCCTGAGGCTGGTTTACAATAAGAACACTTCCCGTCCTTCCACAGCCAGAATTTAGGGAGTCATCAGCATGGATAGTCTGTGAGATATTTTGTCTGTAATTCGTGTATTTGTTTCAAAGTTTTAGAAACTAGTCGAAGACAACGAGGCTTGTGTATGATTAGTTTCATAGTAGGATAGTTGGGCACTGTGGTACCAGAAGCTGTTATCTGCTAGGCTGGCGGGATATACTGTTGTTTCCTAGTATGAAACTGCTCATATAGTTCAAATATTTGTGCCTGGCTGTTATTTGAATCCATTTTGACTCGCTTATCCCACGGCTCTCATGTTCTAGCAATTTTCTGGCGACATTGTTTTAAGCACCACTCTGCAGTGAATGATCTCATATGGGTTTAGCGATTCTAATAAAATAACAATAATGTTAACCTATGGCCAGTGATTGCTGTTGCCGAAATGCTGTACATACATAGACCTTCAAATTGTTTTTTTATTATTCAAAATAAAAATGTATTATTATTACGGACATCTGTACTTAAAGTAATGAAAGTTCGCTGTATAATATGGGTAGATTTTTTTTCGAAATTTGAAGATCAAGCATAATTCGAACAGGGGTCTGGAGAATCTCAGCCCTACAGGCAACTACAGCGCCACGATAATAAAGGATTTGAGGGAGACACTAATAGTATGTTAGCAATTAGGAAGGTTAGCTATAAGGAGGGTCCTTGTGAGTTGACTGTGAGGTGGGTGCTGATGAGTACAGGGGGAATGTATATCCGCTATTTACGCTGAATTGACCACGAGGATTTCGATAGGGCTTTAATATGTCAATAATCCGGCGGTTGCTTGGATACGCGGCCCAGGTGCCATAGATATCCAACTGGGGATCTCTTGAACACACGCCAAAAGGTGATATTGTGAGCTTACTTTGTCCTTTCCCGATTGTAATAGTCAATTACTGACGCCCGTGTGTGTATGATGTGGGTACTCGCCTAATTTTTTTTTTTTTTTTTTTTTTATTCACCGGTATTCTCCCGGCCCGGGTCTTTTCCAAGTAGTGGTGACCCGGCCTTGGCTCCCTATCTGGGGAGTGTCTCGAGACTTAAGTCTCCCATGGGAGGAAGGACAAGTACCTCCTCATCTTTGGGACCAAGTGTCCCCAGGCCTAGCCACATTCCCCGCCCTCACGGGGCTCGTAGGGAGAAGCTAGGCCTCTGGTCTGCCATCTACCCCGCCTCAAAGGGGCTCGTGGGGATGGCAGTCTTATGAGCTGCAGATAGTAGCAAGCTCAGGCAATTAAGGTTGTACTCGCCTAGTTGTGGTTGCAGGGGTCGAGTCATATCTCCTGGCCCCGCCCCTTCACTGGCCGCTACTGGGTCACTCTTTCCGCACCATGAGCTTTATCATACCTCTTCTTAAGGCTGTGTGTAGATCCTGCCTCCACTACATCACTTCCCAGACTATTCCACTTCCTGACAACTCTGTGCCTGAAGAAATACTTCCTAACGTCCCTGTGATTCATCTGAGTCTTCAACTTCCAACTGGGACCCCTTGTTGCTGTGTCCCCTCTTTAGAACATCCTGTCTATCCACCTTGTCGATTCATCTGTGTTTTATAAGTCGTTATCATATCCCCGCTATCTCTCCTGTCCTCCAGTGTCGTCAGGTCGATCTCCCTTAATTTTTCCTCGTAGGACATACCCCTTAGCTCCGGGGCTAGTCTTGTTGCCAATCTTTGTACTTTCTCTAGCTTCCTTACATGGCTAGGTGTTGGTTCCAGACTGGTACTGCATACTCCAATATGGGCCGTGTGTGTGTGTGTGTGTGTGTGTTGTGTGTGTGTGTGTGTACACGTACGTACGTACCCACTTAATTGTGATTGCAGGGGTCGATTCATAGCTCCTGGCCCCGCCGGTGTGTGCGTGCTTTGTATTCGTTCCTGATTGAGTTGCATGACCCTGGAAGAATCGTAAAACACTTTTTAGTTGTGTTACGTTGAGGCTTTAATTAAAGCTCACCCCTCCACTACACAAACCTCTGCTTCTCTTTGTCTGATCTTTCCTTTTAAAATGGCGTGACGGTGAATCCTTTGTTTGCCGCTCCTGTTTCAGTTCATTTGCCAGGATGGCAACTTGTTGAACTGAGAACGGAGAAAGGGCTTATCACATAAAGACGGGTTAAAGCACACTGCGCGAAACGTTGTCAATAAAGGATCTCATTACACCGCTCTTGTTTTGTTTCCATCATGTCGGTATTTTACATCATTTCTCTCCAAAGATGGATAGTGATATCAAATAACGTGATCAGAAATGCATAAATTCATGTAAATCCACGGAACTATATTAGGGTTTGTTGCTTAGCAACCACGCAAGGAAGAATTAACACCTTATTTTACCAGTTTTACCGGAATCCAGTATGAATTAAGGCTAGAAATTTATATCAATATAATACTAATAGCGAACAATACCGACAAGTAAGACGTGTGCAGCAACAGATCAGAAATATTGCCGCAAGGTGGAAAAATGCACAAATTCGGTATAATGCGATTCTTTGTTGAATTTTTGTCTTTTTTTCCATCGTGTCGGTATTTTGTACCATTTATCTCCACCGGAAGAAAGGTAGAGGTTTTCAAGAGAAAGGTGAGCCACTGACTTCCCAGAACTTGATCTGTCAGTTTGTGATGGCAGAGTGAACCTGCGTGCTGCTAGTAGCAACAGTCTGGTTTACCAGACAGT